TTTTTTTTTTTTTTTTTTTTTTTTTTTTTTTTTTTTTTTTATACCGGTCACCCGCGTAATTACGAGTGGCAAATTATAGATCTTTGCCAGAAGGAGACCAGCTCTCTATGAATGTGTATCTCGTTGTTTCCTATTCGAAAGGAAACGAATTAATCGTGCAATTTTATTTCTTAATCCGGGGGAGGGGAAGGGAAGGGGAGAGGAGGGGAGAGGAGGGGGATAATAAGCGAACCGTTGCGTTCGAAACGATTCTGATTTACTTTTCACTTTTTCACTAGGGAATTTCGCTATACCTTGTTTTCCCCTGTTTCTGTTTCCTCGACAAATTATTGAACGTTCAATTGATAATTTGTGGAACTTGTCGAATTCGTATTTCGAATGTAAATAATTATATATGCGCGATAAACGATTGCGATAAGAAGAAACTGATAAGAACCGAATAAAATTTTTCCCCTCGGGGAATTTTGCAACTCACTCTCTCCTCTTATATTTATTCATGCTCTCGAAGTCGAGAAGTTATAAAAATTTAAATTACATTATCTACTACAGATCCACTTTCATAACGTAGCCCCACGAACTTCTGCAATCTCGTGGAAACTTTAACTCTTTAATATGAGAACGAATAATATGCGTTCGAAAAAAGAGATTCGAGATTCGAGTATTAATCTTCTTTAGAATGAAAAAAGTATATAGATATGTTGTTATTAATAATATTAAAATATAGATTCGTTTGATGAACGTGAGCGACAAACAAATTTTCTTGAATCTTCACGATTCACGATGAAAACGATGCACGTTAAAAAATTTCTCGTGTCGCGAGAAACTCATATCGGCCTATCGAGGCGCGGAGAATCGTGTTCCGCTTGTAATCCGCTTGTCACGCTCGAGATTGAACGCGTGGGCAGACGAAAGAGCGGCGCGGCAAAGAGAAATGAAATTGCGATGCTGATCGCCACGTTTATCCTACTTTTTGACCATTAATCCATCCGCAACATTGGATTTAATATCGTAAGTAAGTACTTTTATACATACATAGTGTTCAAAAATACGTGGATATTTCTTTAATACTTATATTACATTATTTTTTGCACTATTGTTCCTTTATCCTTATATATATAGAGATAATGATAGAGAATATGAATCTTGCCACCTTTGTCCTCGAAATAATAGAAAAAACAATTGATATTTAAAATATTTTATAATGTAACAATGTATTATTGGAAGTATGGAAATTATCCATAATTAAAACATGATAACAAAATTCTATCAATAAAAAAAAAGCACAATAATTTTTTTAATTTTATAAAAATATCGATTAATTTTATTTATACAAAGAGAAAGTAAAATTTATCACGATAAATCAAAATTATTTTAATTAAAATTATATATACATAATATATACGATAAAATAATTATTCTATATAAATATTAATGTAAATTGGAAAAATTTGTTCTGTCTAAATATATCGAGTACAATGAAATTGATAATAATAAAATTTTATTCTCTTTTCTCTCAAGAATCTGCAGTATATTAATTATAAATTAGATTTGACCTAAATAGATTTGATATTTTCTTTAATGGCAATTTAACGGTGTATTATTTGATTATAAGATTATCCGTGATTAAAACTTTTAAATTTACAAAAAAACCTCGATTAATTTTATTTATACATATAGGAAAAAAATCCTCTACGATAAATGAAAATTATGTTGAAACTTCATTCTCCAATATATTTTATAATATATATAAAATGAACATGGGATGGTAAAACACTACATGGGAAAAATTGATTTTCACCAAGCCGGTGATTGGAGGATTAAATTACATCTTGAATACAACATAAACTAGTAACGAACATGGAAAAAAGCGTTTCATTATAATAAAAACCGAGAGTGACGTCAAAAGGCACAGTGCGCAACCGGTGCAAATATCCTATCCAAGTACCACACACGCGCGCGCACACATATACACGATACTCGAGCGGACACGCGTGTGGGTGCGTGCGCACGGCGAGGAGAATGCCAGAGTAGGGCGTGG